TATCAAAGTCAACAGAACTGAAGACTACTGAAAGATCAAAGATGCCCCTCCCTATCCTGGGTAAAGGGCATTGGCAAGTGTGATCAGCTTTGTGTATCCTGGTAGGTAGATAGATGCTTTTTGACTTCCTAGTTTAGGTCAGAAACGGAGTGATTGGCACAAAGTCACCCAGCCACCTTCTGGGCATAAGGACTGCTAATTTTGCACTCCTAGTCCAGGCCCTTAACCACCATAAGCAATCCTTCTTTAGTGATCACAGCTAGGACCAGCAACTTGGTTCGTAAGTGAAGCAGTCACTAAAGTTTGTGATCTTATATAAGCTTTTGTTTTATAGACCTGCAAATATTGTACAGGTACACACATATGCATACTTTCTTCCTGTAGGGCTACAAGTTCTGAACAACCAGCAGATGGCAGATAAATGTTGCATTTTCAAATCACTTGGTCTTTTGCAACCCCAGTCCTAATAATGTATTTGCCAGAAGCCATATATAGAAAAGGATGTGACCCCAAATTTAATTAATCACTATCAGTCATAATTGCCTGTATAATTACTACTTAATACGTATAATAGCATATAAATAAACCTCTACAACAACAGAATACTGTAGCAGATTTGGCCATTAAAAAAAATAAATGAAGATGGAAATGGAAAGAAGTGATCCTGTAGCTTGTTAGATAGGACAGTCAAGACAAATAATTGGATATTTGAAACATGAGGAGAAACAGGGTTCGGTTATTTATTAATTCTCTAAATAAGACTTGTCTTGAAATGAGCAGTTACTGGGATCCTTCCTTTTCTTTTTTTTAAAAGACATTTTATTGTTTTTTTTTTAAATTCTTAAGAAAAAGTACTCAGGACCCACCGTGATGGTTGGGTGGTCATACATTCAAAAGTAGAAATATATATAAACAACCCATAGGAAATTATTGGATTCTTGTGAATTTGCCTGTACCGGTTAAAGGCCATCCACCAGACAGAAAACAAAAAAGAAAACAAGAGAGAAATGAGGTAAGAGGAAGAGATAATTACATAGGAAGGGAGCAAAAGGAGGAAACAGTCCACGATGCAGAAGAGATGAGAGAAAGAATATCTGGTGAGCAAAGAAAAGGAAAGAAAGAAAAAAAAATCTCTTGGTTTAGAAAGGATAAATTTCAGCATGGCAGCACGGGAAGGCAAGGGGGATGGAATCAAGTCAGCATGTTCAAGAATGTTTTGAGATTTGTAGAAATGTAAATAGACCTTTAAAAAGAATCAGGGAATGGAGGGGAAGGAAAGGGGGTGGGCCTAGTGGAGAAGGTGACAGCATAGCATACCTCTTTATTTTTAATCTGTGTTCTATCTATAACATCATGTTCCAGTACAACTGAGGAACAGAAGTATTCATAAACCACTATAAAAGATATGTTAAGCCTCCAACAGACAAGCAGAAGTAATTGTATGTATTTCTAGCATGCCAAGACATTCAACATCAACACAATGAAGAAAAATGTTGCAGTTTTCAAATAGGAAAACATTTGAATGTTGGGGTACAAATCATATTTGTAATATTCATTCTGCAATTTTTCTCAATTAAAAACCAAAATGTATTGCTCATTCCAAAAAATCGGTTGGTAGTGTATTAATTTGCTATTATTAATTGGCATATTATTATTAAATATGATTGATTTTAAGTAATAGTTTTTAACAGTATTGCAGACAATTTTGGTAGACCCATCAATCTACAAAGAAATCCTTTGATCTATAACTCTTCTAATTCTCAGTAGGTCAGCTTAGCTGGGACTTATGGAATTGAATTGTAGGAAATCTATGGCAAATCTAGACAGCATACTAAAAAGTAGAGACATCGCCCTGCCAACAAAAATGCATATAGTCAAGGCCATGGTTTTCCCAGTTGCAATGTATGGCTATGAAAGTTGGACCATAAGAAACGCTGAGTGCCAAAGAATTGAGGCTTTTGAACTATGGTATTGGAGAAGACTCCTGCGAGTCCCCTGGACTGCAAGGCAATCAAACCGGTCAGTCCTAGAGGAGATCAATCCTGACTGCTCTTTAGAAGGCCAGATCCTGAAGTTGAAACTCAAGTACTTTGGCCACCTAATGAGAAGGAAGGACTCACTGGAGAAGAGCCTAATGCTGGGAAAGATTGAAGGCAATAGAAGAAGGGGACGACAGAGAATGAGGTGGCTGGACGGAGTCACTGAAGCAGTAGGCGTGAACTTAAATGGACTCCAGAAGATGGTAGAGGACAGGAAGGCCTGGAGGAATGTTGTCCATGGGGTTGCAATGGGTTGGACACGACTTCGCAACTAACAACAACAAATGGAATTGAAGACAGATTAGGAGGGTTCTACGCTGAGAAATGCTGGATGTCCAGAACTGAGCCTTGCTTTTTTACAACAAGAAAGTGAATCAGAAAGCAATGAGAGAATCCTGCGGAAGTTTCCTCTCAATGGATGTTAGTTTCTGAATAGTCTAAAGGTTATTTGATCAGAAAAATGTAATTTTCTTACAAGCCGTAATACAACAGGAGTCGGCATTCTGAGGATAGGAATATGGGAGAGGTTATTCCTTTGCCCTTCATTATGGCAATGGAAGGAGGTTAGAAAATTCTCTGGTTGTAGTTTGAATGTTTATGAAAAACTCTTCTAGGACAGTAGAGATGAAAGGCAGCAGATTACTGTTTGTCCCATCCACCTGCAGCCAGCCAGAAGAGGAAGAAGAAGAGCACTCACCAACAAAGGATGAGCAGCTGGGCCTGAACTGCATTTCAATGCCAGCATTTCAGTTGCTACTTCTGCTTCTACCTTGTCATCTAACTGGTATCAAGACTTTTTAGATTGTCAGCCTTTGTCTCTTTTTAAATTGTTATCTGTCACTTTGGAAGAGAATTAGTGTATAAATATAATGAATAACATTCAGGAAAAATGTCATTTTGTGACAATAAACCAAATGTGCAACGAGCACAGGCTGCAATTCATTTGCAGTCCACCAGCAAATTAAGGATAACAATTTGGAATCTTTTTTTAAAAAATTTGAGGATTGTGAGATTACAGGGCAAAACTGAATGCCTTAATTTTCTGTATGGTAAATGCACCCATTTTATTACTTCAAACCATTGAATTATAAAATACGTCCTAGGCCCATGAATTTTAGTGAGCCACAGACATCTCAGTATGGTCTTCAAGCTGCTAGAAGTCGTACAGCTCTGAAAACCATAGAAGTAAGAGAGAGGAGCAATAAAATTAGTGTGAAATTCTTGATTATTCCAAGGCAGCCTTTAATAAGAAACAAATCTTTTATTGTACATATAATCCTTATGTTCTTTATTCAAGAAAGATGCCAAAGATGCAATATACATAATTCTGAAGTCTGTGGGCAAATCTTAACGCCCCATACATTTGAGAATTTTAAAGTTTGAACATAAGATTATCTGTCCCAACACTACACTTCTTTTTTACAGGCATTATTTAAGAGACATAATATCTCATATTACACTACACTACATATTATATTACATATTACTTCTGTTAGATATTCAAGATGGGCAGTGTTTAATATTCATATGTTATGTATATGTAGGGGTATAGGTCTATACACATGTTATATCTAGTATCTATATGTTATATATAGTATGTTTAGGTGTGTCTCATGTATGTGTTCACTTTGAGAGCGGGCAGCTAAATTTCATTTTTGATGTGTGCTGTTGTGCCCACAGTAAAAAATGACAGTAAAGGTTATCTTATCTTATCTATATTATCTTATCTTATATAGGGTTAGTGAGATTCATTCAGTGTTTGTGGCTATGTTTCAATAACACCAATTATTTCCTCATCCTCATTATGGGATTTAAATTTATTTCCAGTTGAATGGCTACTGCTAATGACATCATCAAGATCACTACCTGGTTTTTGCATTTAAAGGGCATCCAGAAAGTGCTGGTACTACAGAATTAAAAAGAACAAATTAAATGGTATGATGAACATGCGCCTTCCACGCAAATTTTCTCATAAGGAAACCTACTCAATATGGTTACCAAAGGATCCCATTTTCTGAATTTTCAAATACCTTGAATGAAAATTTAGAGTGCACACAGCACAGTAAACCACAAAAACATGAGTCATATTAACACTAATGAAGCTTAGCATGCCATATAAACTTGCCAGGTCTAATTTTGATGTGTTTTATATAAGTGACATAAATTACTTTCTCATTCACATGAAAATGGATTTTGATTTGATTTGTTTGCTTAATGGAGACGGCAGATACTGCATGGCATTGCCAGAATATTCTCAAATTCTATTTTGCCATTTCCTGAAACTACAAGAATCACACAAACAAAACTGATCATGCAATCCCTTTTCTCATGGGTGGAAAAATAATGCCTTCACTAATGTTGTTTGTAGAAAATCTGCTCCAACAAGTCAAGGAGAGCAGTTGCAACCAGTGTTGACTTAAGTTTGAATACTCATTGAAAACAATTCACTTTGAAATATGTATTTGGAGGAAAACAGTGTTAAAAATAGCGGCTCAAGGAACATTTCTTTTTTTTTTTTAATAGATATTTTATTGGTTTTTAACTATAACAATCTCCAGTGCCTGGTGTAGGGCATGTTGTCTTCATTTATATTTTAACAAGAAAAAAAGAACAGTAATAATTAATTAACAGTCAATAATGATTAAATTTGATAATTCCATAATTAATATATTAATTAATAATACATTTATTTGATCTTCCCTTTTCCCATTTGTATTTTCCTTCTTCAACCTTAGCCAAAATATAATTCTTAATATTTTCAATATATAAATGATTAGATATAGGCATTTTTTATATTTATACAAATAATAATGATCTCTCTATATAACATTTTTTCAGCTTATATTATTCTCATAATCATCATCTCATTAGTTCAGCATACATCCTATTTTTATAATTTTTGTTCGCTTAGATTCTCTTATATTCAATCCAATTCTTATCAGTCATAATTTCTTCATATTGATTGATTGATTTTCTTGGTTTTGCTCTTGAATTTTCCTTTGGAAACCAAAGTTAAAAACATTATTACTTAATTTTTAAAAGAATCTTATCGACCTCTTCCAGATTTGTACCCTTTTTTTTCAGATTTGATTTTTACTTTTTCCAAGAAAATATGGTCACTGTAGCCATGCCCCTTTGTGGCCACTGCATAGCATCAGTAGATGATTTCCCACAGTTCTTCAAAATCTGAATTTTGGCCTTCACTCATCAAACATTGCACATTGCTCTACTATGCTTTGAGTGTAGTTCTTACATTTTTTTTGTGTAACATATAATTTCAATTTTGGACACTCTATATATTGACACTTTGTTTCACATGATTTCCCCAGAGCTTTAATAATCCCTCATCAGATATGTACATGTTGTGTGTTTTTTAGAAGTTTGGCACAACTTGACAGAAAAGGGATATTCCTAGGAAACATTCATCTTTTAAAACGGTAATCGAATACTGAAATACCCAATTCTCCTCAATGTGGTCACTTTTGTTTCAGTTGACCTTGAATATCTAACAGAGGAAGGGAATTCTTCAACTCTAGGAACTGGGGAGCATATACTGTATTTAATACTGAGTGATTTATAACAGAATTAAGAGTTGGAAGGGACCTTGGAAGTAATCTAGTCCAGCCTCCTGTTCAATTAGGAAACCCTATACATTTCAGACAAATGGTTGTACAATCTCTTCTTAAAAACTTCCAGTGTTGGAGCATCCACAACTTCTGGAGGCAAGGTGACCCACAGATTAATTGTTCTAAATATCAGGAAGTTTCTCCTTAGTTCTAGGTTGCTTCTCTACTTGATTAGTCTTCATCCCTTGCTTCTTGTCCTGCCTTTAGGTGCTCTGGAAAATAGATTTACCCCCTCTTCATTGTGACAGCCCCTAAGATATTGGTACACTGTTATTATGTCACCCTTAGTTCTTCTTTTCATTAAATTAGACATACCCAATTTCTGCAACCGTTCTTCATATGTTTTAGCCTCCACATAATTTAACATCCACATCATTTCTATGCTCCATTGAGCATTCTTTACCTAAAAGAATTATATGATTAGAGGTGATAAAAATGTACTCACCTGAAAAAAATTAGCTGAAAAGCAGCATTTTATCTCCCATAAATATATTCCGGAATATGAAGAAAATGTTAAATTGAAATGTAAACATGTTGATAGATGTAAGTTAACAACTTTGATAATCCTAGAGCAAAAAAGATGGATTTTTGAACATCATCTACCTGGAGAAATTTTGAAAAGGGCTATACAAAGCTTCAATGTGAAGAGATTTCAATGCATGTGATGACAACAGATGTATTTGAATTATATGGAAAATTTTACAAATGCTGATTGCAGACATGATTGATGATGATTGCATGCCATCAAGTTATTTTCAACACGGATAGCTTTTCTTCATGATGATCTGTCCCTAAACTGGTCTTCCAGTGCTTTCAACAGAATCTGTCCATCTTGCTGTTGTCTTTCCTTCCACCTTTCTGAGTTTTAGAGACTTTTCTAGAGAGCCAGGTCTTTACCTATGACTTGAGCAGGATAATTTGACCCTCACTTGTGCCTTGAATGAAAACTTGAAGATTCATCTATTTGTTCTTTTTGCTGTCCAAAGTACCATATTCTCAGGAGACCTCTCCGGGATAAAAGTTCAAAACTTTTCCTATCTTGCTTCTTCAAAGTCCAACTGTTGCTTCCATACAGCATCACTGGGAATACCATGTTTGTGTAACTCTAATACTTTTAGGCATAGTGAAATTTAACTAATACTCCCATGTGATGCAGTGGTTAAGGCAGTGGACTAGGCAAGGGAAGACTCAGGTTTTAGTCCATCTTCAGCCATGGAAGCTTTTTGAGTGCTTTGGACAACTCACTCACCCTCCCATCCCCAACAAATCTTACATGACCTGGCAGTTTGCTGCAAAAATGAAACTTTAATCAAGCTTTTAACTGGTAGTGACTAAGTGCAATTACATTGAATAGATATCAAATTCATTTTCATGTTCAGCTTTGCTCTGCATTAGATAAACATTCTTTTATGGCGATTATGTTACTTGGGTTTGTAATTTCGGGCTATGAATATATTGAAAAGGAATGGGGAAATGGCAATAGTTTTCCATATCTAAAGAGCAACAATTTATCTGGGAAAGATTTTCCTGACTTCTCCTTTTGAATGACCTGTGTATTATTTATATATTATTGTGTTTTCCTCTACTTGGTTTATTTTCAACACAGGCATACATGTTGAATTTATGAAAAGCATGTTTTAAGTGATCTAGAATTTTAAACCCTTTTCTAAGAAAGTGTTACGCTCCATCCAGGGTGGGTAGAACATATTGCTTCTTATCTGCTTAGATTGATAGGATGCCTTTTTGGACAACTGAGATATATGGAGAACTCAACTACTAAAATACCTGTTATTGACTATACAGGTATCTATTCATTTAGTTATTTAAACATTTTTATTGCCACTCATCTTGTAAAATAGAACTCTGAGTGGCTCCCAAAACAAATCAAAACAATTCAGGTGCTTAATCCATCATCTTCATCAACCCCTCTATGGTCTCCCCAAAGTCCAACCTTACTATCTCAATGCTTGGGGAATGTACCACCCTATAGCAAGTTACACCATGTTAGCTGTTTTCAGATGCATTTGGACTGCAACTCTTCCCATGGTAAATATTACAACTACTACTATTATTCAGTTATTCGGGCCAGGCATGTTTGCAAACCAATATTATTCCAAAAACTCAATTCAACATTTAGGAACTAAATAGCAGCAGAAGCTTCTTTGGTTCAGCACTGCTAGATTTGTTGCTTTTCTGAAGTCAGGAATGAAGTCTTCTATAGACAGAAGACCTTCTGAGTGCAGAACATGGGACCCAAGCATACCTGGCTGAGGAATTCTGGGAGTTGAAGTCTACAAGTCATAAAAGGACCAAGTTTGAAGACCCCTCACCTAGGTGTTTTCTTAAGTGTTTTCTTCCATCCTTTTAAATCAATGGAATTTTAGCTGCATGATACTTAAGTGGTGGAGCCACCTATTAAAAGATGGCAATGAGAGAATCTCCTCTCAATTAAATTCCAGGAGAAAAAAACCCCCAAGGAAATGGATTTTGAACATGTAGGTGGAAGGATAGGTCCAAGGGAGGTTCAGAACACTGTCTTTTCCTTCTCAGGGAGCCAGATGAAGAATATTTGGATATGCTTGAATTGAAGGGATTTAGCCAATTTGTGAAATTAAGTGAATCTGTTCAGAATTCATGTTATGTTATTAAATACGTCAATTTGTCCCTTGGTTTCTATGCTAAACCAAAGGTCTCTATCTTCACGTTCTACTCAGTTATGTAGCCTTACAGACTTAAGGAATTTTTACACTAATAAAGAAGATTAGTGATGATAACAACAGAAGAAAGGAATAACAATAATTTGAAAAACCAACAGGCCATTTTACTTTCAACCTCAAGTTGGGGACATCTAATCAAACAATTTTGATTTTTTCTAAGGTTCTACATTTAGGCAAGAAAAACCAAATGTACAGTATAGTATAGTGGGTACTTGCTCAATAGTAGTAACTATGAGAGGGACCTCAGAGTCCTAGTGGACAATCACTTAAATATGAGCCAGCAGTGTGCTGCAGCTGCCAAAAAAGCCAACATAGTACTAGGCTGCATTAACAGAGAGAATCAAGATCATGTGAAGTATTAATACCACTTTACAATGCCTTCGTAAGGCCACCCTTGAAATACTGCATCCAGTTTTGATCACCACGATGTAAAAAAGATGTTGAGAGTCTAGAAAGAGTACAGAGAAGAGTAACAAAGACAATCAGGGGACTGGAAGCTAAAACATATAAGGAACGGTTGCTGGAATTGGGTATGTCTAGTTTAATGAAGAGAAGTGCGAGGGGGGACATGATAGCATTGTTCCAATATCTCAGGGGCTGCCACAAAGAAGAGGGAGTCAAGCTATTTTCCAAGGCGCCTGAAGGCAGGACAAGAAGCAACGGATGGAAACTAATCAAGGAGAGAAGCAACCTAGAACTAAGGAGAAACTTCCTGACAATTAGTACAATTAACTAGTGGAACAACCTGCCTCCAGAAGTGGTGAATGCTCCCGCACTGTTAAGAAGAGACTGGACAGCCATTTGACCGAAATGGTGTAGGGTTTCCTTCCTGAGCAGGGGGTTGGACTAGATGACTCCAAGATCGCTTCCAACTTTATTATTATTATTATTATGGATCATCGCACAGTCAGCCAGATGTTCAGACTGGATTTGGCATTTTCTCTACCTATTGAGTTCTTACCCAGGACCTGGGATAGGCAGATGTGGATGTTTGATGGTATTACAGGTATTATTATTATTATTATTATTATTATTATTATTATTATTATTATTATTATGGATCATCACACAGTCAGCCAGATGTTCAGACTGGATTTGGCATTTTGTCTTCCTATCGAGTCCTTACCTAGGACCTGGGATAGGCAGATGTGGATGTTTGATGTTATTACAGATATCGTCGCAGGATGGAAGCAGTTCCTAGTAAGACCGCCTTTTGCAATTGACTAATGGCAGATTTGTCAATGTCAATGGTGTTCAGATTTGTCAATGCCAATGGTCCTCCAGTTCTTTTGGGATTGCACCCAAGGCGCCTATTATTATTATTATTATTATTATTATTATTATTATTATTATTATTTAGTCTGGAGTGGAAAATTATTACTTTCTAATTGCTAATGTCAGCCATTGCTTTGAGAAGGCTAGAGTGACAAGTTTGAGTATGGTATTTATGATAAATTATAGGTAGACTACTCTTGGTGCCTGAAAAAAGACCCAAAGCCTGTGCTGCCAGATTTTGGCACCATTCAACTTGGCAAACTACTTAGCACTACAAAGAGATGTGATCTACCTTGTTTAGCAAATCACCACAAAATGGTTTAGGATGAGCCACTAGAAAACAATGAAGTGAGGCAATTGGTAAAACTAAGAGTTTCTCTTTTCATCTTTCAACTCCACCCTGTGATTGGAGTGACAGTCTTTAAATTTTACATGAGTAATTCATCTGTAAAGATAAAATGATCAACATAAACAACCCAAAATACCTATGCTATACACTGAAAATAACAGATATAAATTCCAGTAAAGTATATAATCTATCTTTCCAACATATGGTGTTCAAAACAGCCTGGCCCTTAGAGTCATTCTGATTTGGGAACAAATATTTCCACTTTTTTTCTACTTAATGTTCAATCCTAAATTTGGATGAGATTGCTGGTACACTGGAGAAAGAGACAGGGACCAGCCAGAATTATATGAATACACAGGTTTGTAACAGATGAGTTCAGATGTGACTGTTTTACTTGGTGTTCACAAGCTTTCAAAAATCTGTTGTGCTAACATACTAACACCTAATCACTGTATCTGGTTTTTCCTTATGGCTGCTTTGAATCCACAATTAATCTTACATTTGATCTATGGTCTGTCTCTCTCTCTCTCTCTCTCTCTCTCTCTCTCTCTCTCTCTCTCTCTCTCTCTCTGTGTGTGTGTGTGTGTGTGTCTTGTTTACTTCTCTCAGCCTAACTGTGAAGGTTTGAGTTGTATTACATTTATTGCTTATTCCAGTTAAATAGCTGTATCCTCCTTATCTTGAGTAATCCAGATTTTATCCAAGCAATTGAATGAATTGGTTGCATTTGTCTTACCTTAAATCTTCTGAATAGATTTATTATTTTTTATAGAAGCAGTGAAGACAAATTACAAAAGAGACGGAACCCTGCTTTATTTCCCCCATTCCCAAAATCATTTTACTTAGTTCAATATATAAAATTATCCCATTTTGTTTGAAGAATGACACAAGACACTTTTTAAGAATATTAAAAACAAGGTGTTTCTCAACAGAGTTATTTGTTATGTGACATTACAGTACTGTATACTGCAACTGTAATGAGATGTTATTTTTTATAATTAGGATCAACCATCAACAGTGAAGGAACAAGTAGTCAAGAAATACATTGCAAGCCAGCACCTAGTACTGCAGCCACAAAGGCCTTGGAAAAGATATTCAAATGCCTTGATGTATTTATGCTTACAAAAATCAAAACTGTGCAAGCCATCTCTGTATCACTTTATGGAAGCAAACGTTAGACTATAGTATTGACAGTTTTAACTTGGTATTGGAGAAGACCCAAAATCTCCGGAAAAGGCTGTAATGATGCCAAAGATGAAGGAAAAGAGAGAAGATGACTGCAGCAACATGTTACAGTGGTGATGAATACACCACTGGAAGACATGAAAAACCAAGTTGGGAATAGAGCATTTGTAGAGCATCAATCTATTTTACGTGGTCGCTAGGAGTCAAAAATGACTTGATGGCATATAATCAATCAACCAAAAAAAGTTCAGTCTTGCGTGGATAAGTACCTGAGAACTAAATTACTACTGTTTAGTAGTATGGAAAGACTGCATGCTTTTTTTCCCTGTAAAAAAAACCCAAAAAAGCTGTTCCCAATAATTTGCTAATTTCCACTTTGGTTTTTCTTTTTTCTTTTTTTTTTAAAAAAATATATATTTTATTAGTTTTCTATATTTACAATTCATGGTAAACAACGTGTTGTCTGGGTCCATTTGTTTTACTTAATAATACACATTAAATTCCTAATTTCTATCCCGTTTCTCCAGCCGTTGATACAATATGTCCCATATTTGAAAATATGCTGTATCTTCAAGAAAATACTGGATTGTGCAGAAATGGATAGATTTACGCTTAAGATTAAAGAAAAAGAAGATACTTTTTTTTAAAAAAAAAACTTGCTTTTACTTACTTTCAAATTTTACTTTTATTCTTGCTTTAAACACAGTAGACAACAGCCGTAGTGGATTCCTGAATGGGAAGGCGGGGTAAAAATGTTTCCTTCCAGTGTTTCCCAAACTTGACAATGCTGGCTGTGGAATTCTGGGAGTTGAAGTCCACATGCCTTAAAATTGTCAAGTTTGGGAAACACTGCAAACCGTAGCTGATGTCAAGGCAATTCGGCGAAAGGGCAGGGTGGAGTTACGCACGATCCTCGAGCCTCTGTTTAGCAGCGTTTGCTCTCTCTCTTTCTTCCCCGCCCTCTGTTTAGCAGGTGGCTAGTTTATAATCTCAGCGCACCTTCGGCGGCTCTCCAGTCGAACGCGCTGCCCCGGAGCATCCGCCAGCCTCTGTCGGGGAGAAGGCGGCGGGATCGTCCTCCCAAGCTCCGTAAACAGACCGGCGGGAGCCTCAGCAGCCAGCCAAAGCCGAGCGGGACCACGATGCCGGCTTCGCCCGGGCGCAAGAGGGGCTCTATCGCCGCCCGTTTCCTCCTGGCGGTATGGAAGGGAAAGGGATGGGGAGGCGGGGAGGGAACCGGAGAGCTGGTGCTGATGCTGGACCTCCATGATTGGCAGTTTGCCCACCGCAGCCGGTTGTGTTATGGGCAGGAGCAGCAGCAACAACAGCCTGGGGTTCCCCTGTGGGACACACCAGACTTTGTCCCCGTTTTCTAGGCAAAAATCCCAGCTACCTGTAGGTGGCGTCTCTTCTTTCAGATTGTGCGCTGTTGACCTTGGCAACCTGGAATGAGAGTGTTTGATAAGGTCCTTGTCCTGTTGTTCTTGAACATGGTTTGCATTTTATTTCACAGAGGTCAACGCTGGCAAATTTGGGTGATGTGGTGATGATCAAAATAGGATTTTGTAGTCTTCTTATGCAGCAGAATTCTTCTTGAAATATTAGGGCAATTCATGATGGTCAATCTTGCAAGATCAGCCAGATTAAAAATTGTACACTGACACTATAAGTGGAAAAATGGATAAGAACAACTAAGTTCTTATGATGTCAGAGTTCATAATTGTTGTTAATTGCGAAGTTGTGTCCGACCCATCGCGACCCCATGGACAATGTTCCTCCAGGTCTTCCTGTCCTCTACCATCTTCTGGAGTCCATTTAAGTTCACACCTACTGCTTCAGTGACTCCATCCAGCCATCTCATTCTCTGTCGTCCCCTTCTTCTATTGCCCTCAATCTTTCCCAGCATTAGGCCCTTCTCCAGTGAGTCCTTCCTTCTCATTAGGTGGCCAAAGTATTTGAGTTTCAACTTCAGGATCTGGCCTTCTAAAGAGCAGTCGGGGTTGATCTCTTCTAGGACTGACCGGTTTGAACGCCTTGCAGTCCAAGGGACTCGCAGGAGTCTTCTCCAGCACCATAGTTCAAAGGCCTCAATTCTTTGGCGCTCAGCCTTTCTTATGGTCCAACTTTCACAGCCATACATTGCAACTGGGAAAACCATGGCCTGGACTATACGCACTTTTGTTGGCAGGGTGATGTCTCTGCTTTTTAGTATGCTGTCTAGATTTGCCATAGTTTTCCTCCCCAGGAGCAAGCGTCTTTTAATTTCTTGGCTGCAGTCCCCATCTGAGGTGATCTTGGAGCCCAGAAAAATAAAATCTGTCACTACCTCCATTTCTTCCCCATCTATTTGCCAGGAATTGAGAGGGCCGGATGCCATGATTTTGGTTTTCTTAATGTTGAGTTTCAAGCTAACTTTTGCACTCTCCTTCTTCACCCGCATCAAGAGGCTCTTTAGTTCCTCTTCACTTTCTGCCAATTATTGACCCCAATTCATACCACTAGGGCATTTGAAGTGGAACCAGAGTAGGAGTTTACCAAGCTTTGTGTAGCCTGTTGAGTGGTGCAGATCTCAGCCTTAATCCATGATCTGATGCTTTCATGAAATCTTGGACTAGCGGTAATCCTCAATTTACAGCCATTTGTTTAGTGACTGTTCAAAGTTACATTGGCACTGAAAGAAGTGACTTACAACCAGTGCTCACATTTACAACCATTGTAGTGTCCCGATGGCCAAGTGATCAAAATTCAGGAATTTAGCAATCGGCATGGTTGCAACATCTGGGGATCCTGTTATCATCATTTGCGACCTTCCCAGCCAGCTTCCAATAAGCACACCATATTTGCTTAGTGACCATGTCATTCAGTTAACAACCGTGAGAAAAAAGGTTGTAAAATCAGGCACAACTCACTTAACAACTGACTTGCTTAACAGCAGAATTTCTGCTCCCAATTGGGATTGTAAATTGAGGATTACCTGAACTACCTAACACTAGCTAGAAAATGATGGCAACTTGCAGGAAAAGGCTCCAGAGAATAAATATTAATACATTACTCAACATTCGCTTCCTGTTTTATGACAAGGCAAACATCACTTAACAACTGCCTTGCTTAGCAATGGAAATTGTGATCCCATTGTGGGATCATATAAATTGAAGGCTACCTATAGGATTAAAGGAAATAAAAGAGGACATACAAGAAAATATCCGAGGTAACAGGTCATAATAATAAAGGGTAATCTTAATAATAAAACCAAAACAAAAAAGAGAGAAATTAAGATAAATATTAACTGGTAAGAGAGTAAAATGAACTAAAATGAACTAAAAAGAACTAAAAAGAATGTATTTTTATATTCTCGTTTTTATTTTGTTCACCTCAAGTCAACATACATAGTCAATGTTTCTGTCTTCTGCTTTCCACATAAACAGTTGCAAGTGTGAACAATAGCCATGTCACTTTTTTCAGCGCTGTTCTAACTTTGAACAGTCACTCAATGAATGATTGTATGTTGAGGACTACCTGTAGATCCTCTGCTGTTGTAAGCAAGAAGGTCACCTGTTCTTTTACATCTCCACGTGCAGGTCTTTATTTCTATCATAAATCAGTATAAAATAACATCCGTAAGAATTATAACCATTTCAATAATAACAATGAAACCCATGAAACATTTAAAAATGCCTAAAAGCTAGCATTATCAACATAATATTGTAATATTGGAATACTGATTTTTTTTATTCAAGAGTTTATTTATTTATTTATTTATTTATTTATTTAATTTTTAAAATTTATAAGCCGCCCCACTCCCGGAGGACTCTGGGCGGCTAACAATAAAAAACACATAAAACATAACAAAACAAACAGTACAAGAACAGTCATCCAGGGGTCAGATTTTATAAACCCCAGGCCTGCCGGAAAAGCCAGGTCTTAAGCAGCTTACGGAAAACCAACAGGGTGGGAGCGGTCCTAATCTCCAGGGGGAGCTGGTTCCAAAACATGGGCGCCATCACAGAGAAAGCCCTCCTCCGCGGCCCTGCCAAATAGCACTGCTTGGCCGACGGGACTGAAGGACTCCCAGCCTGTGGGATCTAACCAGACGTAGAGAACTATGAGGTAGTAGGCGGTCTCACAAATAGCCTGGCCCTGAGCCATATAGGGCTTTAAAGGTAATGACCAACACCTTGAATTGGACCCGGAGACCAATAGGCAACCCGTGCAGCTCATGGAGGATAGGTGTAACGTGGGTGTATCGAGGAGCACCCACTATCACTCGCGCGGCTGCATTCTGGACCAACTGCAGTCTCTGAACACTTTTCAAGGGTAGCCCCATGTAGAGCGCATTGCAGTTCTTCATACTGAATTAAAACAGAGACTTTAAACAAGAAATGAAAGTATTCCTTTATATCAACGGCTCAACTAAAAGTGGGAAGGATCTGCTCTTCCTATTTGGGGATTAATTACACAGTAGGAAGATAATGTCTGGACAGAGCGAAGATACAATCAGATATGACCTTTATTGTATTATTATATTATTATTATGTATCAGTGAGCTCAGTTTTTCAAGCTATATCAAAAAGTTGCTGTAAGTGATTTTACATTCCTTCTTGGGAGAGGACTGATGCTTGGATTAAGTTTCAGGAACTTTGGTCATGCAGTTTTCTGTTCTGTTTCTGTTTGGCATGATGAAATCTTACATTCCTAAGGTTTTAAATGCACCTCAGCACCTCCATTTCATCATTTGGTATCAACCCAGGATTTATCTCATATAAACAACCATTCCTTTTTAAAACTCAGAAAAAAGAACATTGTAGAATATGTCCAGGGCCTTAAGAGAAGTGAGTTGTTTTTCCTTGATTGAGCTTGAAAATACTGAGCAGGTGAGTACTTGGATGAAAAACACCAGGAAAATAAAATAAATGAGAGCTAGTTTAGTGTTGTGGTTAAGATACTAGCCTAGAAACCAGAAGTATTGTAGTCTGGCCTTAGGCATGAAAGTCAGTTGGGTGACTTTGGGCCTGTCATTGTTTCTCAACCCAAACTACCTCATAGGATTGTTAGAGGGAAAATAGGAGGAGGAATGAGTATTGTTGTTGTTAGTTGCGAAGTTGTGTCCGACCCATTGCAACCCCATGGACAACGTTCCTCCAGGCCTTCCTGTCCTCTACCATCTTCTGGAGTCCATTTAAGCTCACACCTACTGCTTCAGTGACTCCATCCAGCCACCTCATTTTCTTATAAAAATAATAAATCTAAAAAAAAAACTAAGGCTATACTAGGACTAGTAGGAAGTTGACATATTGGAAGAAGGCTGTGGCACTTCCATACCATAGCCGAATGAATGAATGAATGAATGAATGAATGAATGAATGAATGAAACCTAATACTAGAGGGGAGCATTAACTCAAGAGAGACTTCACTTTTTCTGTTTCACAAAAAAGGTCAGTGGTGAGAACCTAAATCTATTGCCATTAACTTTATGTTAAATGGCTAAGAATTATTTATCCATGTCCTTTTTCAAAACTTTATTTTCCATCCAAGGAACTCGGAACTGCATACTGAGCCTTGAGAAGAAAGCTAAGATAGCCAATGACCTGGTTACTCAGTTTGACTTTAGGCCTCAGGTGGGTAAAATGGGACTGGTTTGGTACAAGATAGGGGACATGTTCAAGGTCACCCTGATGAACATAAGTGCTTTGTTAAATATGTAAATCCCAATTCATAGGGATTTTCAGCCATAAGTATAGAAACCTGGAGATGTTTGGAAAGTCTAAGAAAGCATA